GAGTTTCCTGGAGTCAAATGATACAAAAGGTATCTTGAAGGTTGCAATAAAACTCATCCCGGGACTTTGGTTTAAGGATGAGTCCTTGATGGAAGCTTTGTCATGCAGTAGTACTTTTCAGAACTAGTTGTCTAAATTTATATAGAAATACAAGTTTTTCCAGCTCAACATACTATTAAAATAGCATTTCCTTCTGAGGTCTGACTCCTGCAATGGACATTTAAGTGAAATAAAGTTATTTATTGGAATTGTCAACAAAAAAAAAAAAAGAAGAAGAATCACAATAAAGGAATACAGAAGAATTTTAAGAAAGAAGTGTAATTTTTTATTTTAAAAAATTTCAAGAATAAGTACACTGATTATAGCCTGGATAAAAACATCTTGTCATGAATTTGAAGATAAACTGAGCTATTTTTTTAGTTTTAAAAATTTAAAATAAATGTTTTTGAAATTCTATTTAAACTATCACAAGGTATGAGATAGTTGAGCCATACTTGACAAGAAAATATGTGCAAGACTTGTATCCAAAATAAGTGAGGCGGCACACCACAGCGTGAAGGCAAAGGGCTGGTTGCTGTTGGACGTGAGTGCGGCACAAATGCCATGAGCATGGCAGACACGGCCCAATCGAAATCAAAATGCCAGCAACTTGCACATTGTCCTGTGAAAACTGACAAGAGGATCCTAAAATTTCCATGGAAATTCAGGGTCTCTAGAACAGATACACTGAAGTATTTTTTTTATTTCAATACTCACTATGAAGTATGTTCTTTAAGGTTATGCCATACTGGTATAATGATACGTACATATTACATTTATATCATGAGTAATATATGGGCATATACACATGAGGACTGACTGCACGTCTGTCATGATATAGATGTACATGTATAATAGAGCTCTAAACGTCACTCACACATATAAACTGAATTAACTTTCAACAAACATGAAAGAGTAATTAGAAGGAGAAATAAAGAGTTTTTTTTTTTTTAAATAAATAGTACTAGAGGACTAGGGAGACCGCTCAGGGGTTAAAACACCTGCCTGGCAAGCACAAGGACCTGGGTTCAATTCAAGACAGAAGAATCACTATGAGCCTGACCTGCATAGCAAGACTATACCAAATAAATAATTTTTTTGAAAATGATGTCAGGGAAATATAAATTAAGACTATACTATTATACCACCACTACACTTGCATTATAAACATTTGATAAGCTAAGCATAGTGGTGCACACCTGTAATCTCAGCACTCAAGAGGCTGAGGCAGGAAAAGTTTGAATTTTAGGCCAGCCTAGGCTATATAGAAAGACATGGTTATCAAAAATAAAATAAAATACAATTTTTAAAAAACCACTGGCACTCGCTACCCCAAGTCAGTACAACTGTGGCACAGATGGAATGCACCTAAATTACTCATGTTAACGTCGACTGGAAAACCCATATTGGAAAGCTTCACTATCCCCTAAACCTAGGTACGTGTATACCTTGTAGCCTAGAAATTTATTCCTAGATATAAACCCAAAGGAATGTAGCATGCATGGAGCAAAACAATGCTCAGTAAGGCCAAAATTAGGGGACAACCCTGAGGCTCATCAACACAGAAAGGCTCAGCAACTGTCTGCTCACCAGTGAAAATGGATGAACCATGCACAGCGAGGTGGGACAGCCGAGTAACCTGGAGCAAACGTAAAATGCACAAAGAAATTCAGTAACCTTTAGCATGAAAATGAGAACCTTTGGCTGCCTTTGAGGTGCAGCCCCAGGGCTGCTTCTGGAGATTTAGTGACCGTTTATCTCGATTGATGTAGGTCACGTTGACTACGCTCACTATGCAAAACTGTGCTGAGTCCTTCATGCTAATGTCTGCACTTCTCTGTGTGTGTGCTGATCCTCAACAAAAGAGTGACTAGCATTAATCTGTGTGGGGCCTAGAAGTAGTCTGTGGGCTGGAAGGCAGCGGGGCCGCTGCAGAACCAGTAATAGGCCACAGGTCTGGCACGTAACTCAGATATTCTAAGCAATGCCTACCTCATTGCTATGCAGTTATGTGCATAACTTTAAACTCTTCATGAAATGTTCAGTTTCATATCTTGCTACTGCAAGGTGCAGCACCAGGGTAAGCTATGAGATCCAGGGCAGCCACAACTAATCTGTAGTGGAAAACACCTTGCAGAGTCTCTCTGCCTCTGGACCCATGCATTACTTTTAATTTCACTATCCATCCCTTACACAACCCGTGTCCCACTTGCCAGAGGCAAGTTCTTCAATTAAGAAAAATGCCCACATTATTCATTGCTTTCAGTCAGTAGCAAGGCCACTCAAAGCAATAAATCAGAATAAAACAGAATCTCATAACAAGGCCACATAAATCACTGCCTTTATTAGAACGAGAAATTTTCTAAGTTAGTTTTATTTTTTTCTTGAAAATAACTCAACAAATATATAAACAAAACTATTCTCTACATTCAATAGTTTTCACCTTTCCAAATTGTTTCACTTATTAGATGTGCATTACTGGCCCTTCACACTATGCCACTGGCCAAGGCCTTTTAAAAGCAAGGGTGGGAACTATTTAAAGTATGTCTGCAGTACCACACAGAGCCGACCAGAACAGAACCCACCCTCCTGAAAATTCAATTCCACCACCAAGCTAACATTCCTTACAAGTTGTAGAACAATGTTCTCCCTCTTTCTGCTCCCCGAAGGATTCTCCGGCTGCTGCTCCTCCCAGAACCACACAGATTTCTCAGCTCCCCTCCCACACTAAAGCGGCAGCTGGTCAGAGAGTGCAGCACACTTGCTGGTCTTGAACCAAACGTATCCATTACGTATGCAGTGTGGCACGCTACACGCATCTCATACACAAACACAGTGAAGGGTTCACTGCACAATTCTAGAATCTGGACTTCTCTGAGAATATCTCCTTCAAATAACTTATTTTTATTGGGCTAAAGAGTCTAATCATTTTAAAAACAAAAGCAAATACCATCTGATGATAATTATTCTTCCCGCCTGAGAAACACTAATACCTTCTATATTTATTACCAGACAGTATGTGAAAATTATGTTGTCAAATAATTTTCAGAGAGACATTATCCAAATAGGGTTCATATTCCATGCAAAAGACCCAGCAGTGAAATTATAATTGCAAGAGATAATTTTTCATAAGAACCAAGGTAAAAACATTTTAAAGCTTATAATGTGAAGTGATAAAATGATTTAATTTTTATTTACTCAAAAAACATCAATCAAGTATCTCTTACATATCATATACTATAAATCAAGAAAGAGCTGGCACCTGTTACCCTCAAAGCACTAAGGGTCAAGATTTGCTAGAAAAGTCGGTCAATGTCCACTGTCCAGGTTGTCAGTCCTGTAAAAGAGATGCAAGTCCATAGGGACGGAAAAGGCATTGGGAGCACTGCCCAGCAAGGCGACCTGGGCTGAGCTCTGCAGCGCAAGACAAGCTAGCAGCATGACAGGGCAGGGAACAGACTGCTGGGAGCAGAGGGACACACAGACAGGTGCTGCAAGGTGTTCCCTTTTGGAGGAAAGTGGGATGCTATGGCAGAGTCAGGAAATGAGGCGAGGCAGAGGGATCTGGGGGACAGGAAAGAGTTAGGTTGTGTTGTGTGCTCACCCCTGCTCCCATGCGGAGCACAACCCCTATGTACCACAAAGAAGCTCTAATAGAAATAAAAACAAAAACAATTGAAACTTTTAGGGCCAGCCAGATAGCTCAGCAGACTAAACTGCCTGCTTAGGCAGAGCACAGGGGCCAGGGTTCCATTCCCAAAACCAGAAGCCATGCCAGCCCTGCCCCTGGGGCTTGCTGAAATGGCAATTGAGACTGTGCGTGGTGGCACACACCTGTAATCCCAGAGCTTGGGAGGCTGAAAACAGGAGGATCACTACAAGTCTGATCTGTGTAGTGAGACCCTGTAAACTCTGTAGACCCTGTACTAAATACATTAAAAATAAATAAATAGGGCCAGGAAGATAGCTCAGTAGAATAAGCACTTGCCTGGCAAGCACAAGGGCCTGAGTTCAATCCCTGGTTCTGCCAAATAAATAAATAAACAAACAAACAAACAAATTTTAGCTGATCTTGCAACCCTAAAAATACCTGCATGAGATGATATATTAATAATTCTCTATGGTAACCATTTTGTTGAATATACGGATCCTGTAACATCATGTTGTATTCTGTAAGGATATGCAACAAACTTTATTTTAAAGAATAAAATGTTAAATTTTCAAGTATGTAGAAAATAATCTCCCATATCATATATTTTACCTAACATTTATTATGGTTTGTATGTTTACAGCAATTATTTTAAAACTTTCTGAATTTCTTAAAGTTATATCAAGGGCCACGAGAAAGAAATATTTGGACGTCTCAAGCCTCTTTGCGTAAAGAAGAAACTTTCCTCTCTCTCCTAAAACAGTTTCCTGCAGCAAGCTGTTAGACACAAAAATCTTTTCACTTGACCAGTATTTTAAATTCCTGCAGAAGAGATTCACGTGTGTTAGAAAACTACTGCAAGGGGCCGGGGAGATGGCTCAGTAGGATAAGCGCTTGACTGACAAACGTAAGGATCTGAGTTCAATCCCCGGTTCCGACAAAAAAAAAAAAAAGACTACTGCAAGTAAAGATATCAAAGAGTGAAATGTGCTTTCATTATGTAACATTAACAAAGCAACAAAATGGGTTGTGCAGTTTAGCCTGTGTTAAAAAAAAAAAAAAAATCAGTAAATTTAAACCTCCACAAAATTGAAAAAATAAAAAATGTACTGAGGCAGAGAGGCAACATCTATCTCCCAGCTGCTTCTAAAAAACATTGCAATTTACTTTTGTTTGGGTAAAGGGGTCTTCAGCTTCATTATGCCTCTCTGTTCGTCACGCGTAAGTTATGGCCCGATGGGGGCAAAGCTGTCTGCAGGACTGAGACAGTGAGGAAAGGTGCAGGGAAGAGCCCCAGCCGCGCAGTACTCACTTTCTTTGCGAACGTCCCCAAGTGCAGAAGCGAGCTCCTCCTGTAGCACCGTGGCCTCCCGAGCAATCTTCTCCCCCTTGTCCAATAAATTCCAGGTTGCTTCCTCCACGGAAGATAGCAGGACTCTGGCTCTCTTCGACCGTCCTTTTTTCCTGCTGGAAGGATTCTGGGGACAATTTACAAGCGTGGTGACCTAAAATTGGAAAGACACAGGTAAGTCATCATACAGTCTGTGTGGAGGACCAAGTCTGGAGAGGATAGACCAGGAGAGAAAGCCGCACGAGGAGCCCCGAGCGCAGCCCTCCTGCGCGCTGACGCCCTCCTGCGCGCTGACGCCCTCCTGCGCGCTGACGCCCTCCTGCGCGCTGACGCCCTCCTGCGCGCTGACGCCCT